CCCATGAGTCTTCCGACCCATCTCAAATAGTTTAGCTAAGACAGGGCTAGGGCAGAGAGGAGGGCCAGTTAGGAGGGTTACCCTGGAAGACTGGGCAAACAAGAGGGTGCAGAGGAAGTTCTGCCTCCTCTTTTAAGTAGAGGAGGTGAGGTATCCGAGACGCCCCTTATAGTTCACGTATACATATTAAAAGCGACCTCCACCCGCATTCAGAGCCCCTCCCTGAAATCAAGTTTTTGCCAAAACACAAATTTTGGGGGCAGATTTTTTATTCCCCTGTAGTTGCCTTCGGTTACCTGTTCTCTTGCCTGCTATTTGCCAGACTGGCGCCAGGTGACGCCCCGCTGGCCCCAGGAGAAATAATCCAGGAGTAAGGGGGTTAGAAAGTACAAAAACAAGTCAGCCACTGAGGTAAGTTCAGATAACGATCAGTGCCTGGAAGAAAATGGAAGAAGGCAAAAGAGGCCCAGGCGGCAGAGATCAAGGGAGGAGAATTCGGGCAGTGGAGACAGGGGGTGCAGAGGCCCCGAGGCCGGGAGGAGAGGCTCACCCACAGGCAGCTGGGGCTCCTGCAAAATGACCCAAGACGGGAAGGAGAGTGGCCTGTAGCAGGACGGTCCCCAGGGAAGGGGAAAGTCCAGCTTCCCGGCTCCCTCCAAGGGCAGGTGGGGCTGAGCGAGGCCTGGAAGAGAAGGCGGGCCGGCTGGCTGAGGAGAGAGGAGGAGGCGCGCGGAGCCGAGAGCCGTGTGAAGGAGCTGCACTTGCTTCTCGTCCTCAGCTGACGCCAGGGACCTGGGGGACATGGGAGGAGACGCTCGAAACAGACGTGGGCGAGACCCGTGGGGAGGTGACAGTGGCGGTCTTTATCTTGATTTTGATTTTTCCTCTTTTCCTCCCAGACTTGCCTGGCCCCTTCTGCCCCTTCCTGTGGGTCCCCGCCAGAGGGGCCTTAGACGTGGGGCAGCTCTCAGGCCTCAGCAGTCATGCCCTGGGCCAACCGAGTTTGGCTGCACATTTACCTTCCAGGGGGTGGGGTGTTTCGTGTGAAAACTTTGTTCTCTCTTCTTTCCCTTCTCTTCTCTTGAGTGCACACTACTTGTATTAAAGTTCCTTTCCAGGGCCTCCCCGGTGGCTCAGCGGGTTGAGCGCCGCACTGGGATGCTGTCCGCAGCCTCTGCAGCAGTGGTTCCATTCCCAGCCGGCCAGGGAGATGCCCACAGGGCGCAGCAGACCTCTCCTGTCTCGCCCGCTGCTCCCCTCAGCTGTGTATTTCAGTAGATCCGCCTGTTCTGCTCCCCACTCTGTCTCTGGGGAGTCCTCTCACCCTCCCACACCTCTGGCCTGTACTCCAGCTCTTGTATAAATAAAAAATAAATTTTTTTAAAAAATGAAGTTCTTTTCCATTAAAGGTCTTACGCACTTGCGTGTGTTTTGCCACATCAAAATACATCTTTTTGGCAAAAGCTTAATTTCTGGGAGGGGCTCTGAAGCCTGTGGGGGTTTATGTAAATGTATGACATTGTGAACTCTGTAGGGGACTCTCTAGGGTGACCTGATCTCTTTACCTCTTTTCACTGGCGAAGGCAGAACTTCATCAGCATATCTCGGTCTACTGTGCCTCCCAGGCACCCCCTCGCTGACCTTCCTTTTGTCCCCCTTCCAAGGTCCTTCAGTCTCAGCTATTTAAGATGGCGTCACGCGGGCAGGTAACTGCAATGCCTGCCTCCCCCTGTAGACAGGAGGCATTCGTGTTATTATTAACCTTACTAGCTTTTTTCCCTCTTATCAATCTGTTTAATGCTGGTTTGATTATTTGCCAGCCTAGAAGAACCCAGCGGAGGTCAGGATGACTTCCTTTGTACCCCAACAAAGTCTATAGGTTTATTTCCTATACACTTAATTATTCTGAAAATTCTTATTTTTTTTTTTTTTTTTTTTTTTTATAGAGGCATGTTTTCTTTCTTTCTTTCTTTCTTTGTTTTGTTTATACATGCACTGGGAACAGTCAGAAGCGCGGGAGGGTGAGAGAATTCACCATAGCCAGAGCGGGGAGCAGAGCAGGCAGAAGGACCGAAGTACACTGCTGAGGGGAGCAGCGGGCGGCAGGAGAGGTCTGCGCGCCATGCGGGACCCTCCTCTGGTGGCCGGGAAGCAGCCGGGGATCGAACCGGCGGCGCAGAGGCCGCGGGCAGCTTCGCAACCCAGCGCTCAACCGCTGCGCCACCGGGGAGGCCCCTGAAAATTCTGATTTAATTTTAACTAGTGCAACATTTGGGGATGGAAGCAAACCAAGTTTCTTGCTATTCAATCCTTGCATCAAAACAGTGTTGCTTCGGCACCGGTTCGATCCCCGGCTGCTCCCCGGCCACCGGAGGAGGGTCCCACATGGCGTGCAGACCTCTTCTGCCGCCCGCTGCTCCCCTCAGCAGTGTCCTTCGGTCCTTCTGCCTGTTCTGCTCCCCGCTCTGGCTCTGGTGAATTCTCTCACCCTCCCGCGCTTCTGACTGTACCCAGTGCTTGTATAAACAAAGCAAACAAACAAACAAATAAATAAATAACATGCCTCTATTAAAAAAAAAAAAGTTTAAAAACAAAACAAAACAAAAAAAAACAGTGTTGCTTCATAGCCACTAACAGACCGAACTGAACAGCTCCTGAAAAACAGTTACTACACCTTGGCAAAAAGTTTACCTAATTCCACCCCTTTGACGCATATGCCCCCTGCTGGGCGACTGAGGGTTGCCTCGGCTCTGAAGATCCTCCAGCGGGTGCGCGGATTCCAGCCCTACCACCCCCTCTCCATGCCCCGCCCCAGTATCCTCTGTGTCCTACCCCGTTGCTCAGCCTCAGCTCTTCGCCCCTGGGCTTCCCTCCAGCTTCTCCCCACCTCCATCATCCTCCAGCCCCCTCCCGCACATCTCTTAAGAACAACAATCCTCAAACACTGTCAGCAGCTCCCCAGTGCCTAGGGAATTGGTCCAAATTCTTGAAACTTGCATCCAAGAGCCTTCATGATCTGGCCCTGGAGATCTTCTGAAATTACCCATTTAATATCCACTCATTTTCTAAGACTCGGCTCCAGCTGCTCCTCTTCCAGGAAGCCACCCCAGACCCCCAGCCAGCCCACATCACCACAGTCAGAACATGTGTCCTCCGGCACTAAGCTTTTGCTCTTTTTTAAACTGTTGCACATGCCCCGTCTTTACAAGAAGCAGGTTGTACTCTCCAGCAGGCCAATGAGGAAGCAACGCTCAGGGACGCGAAGGAACTTGCTTGCAGCCACACAGCAAGCAATTCAGCAGGGGGGCGGGCACTGGTTTCTGTCGCCCGGCTCTGCCCGAGTGCCGCTGCCCCTGCAGTCTCCCTGGGCATCTTCACACTTCCCAGACCAGAACTGTGGTTTCCCAAACCGGCCTATGGCCACCGAGGTTAAGTGTCCAGCTCTGGTCCCTGAGACAGACCCGCTGTGGCGTGGCGTGGGGTCTGCCTGCCAGCACAGCCTCATTCTCCATCTCTGCTATTCCGAGGCAGCACCCTGACCTTGGGGCGCCCTGCCCCAGCCCCCACCATGAAGGACGGAGCAGCCTCCTGTGGCTCTCAAATTAGGTGCTGGATTTTATTTTGCTATTCCTGTTTTTAATTCAGCAGGCCCTTGGGGCTGTGCAGGAAATTTAATCTGTACAAGTTGCATAACTACACACCGACCCAGCGGCACCCTGGCCTGTCCAGTCCTGCCCCGAGCCCCGACCTCGCCGTCAGGGAGCCGCATGGCCCTTTGCGCCGAAGCCCGAGGCCAGTTTCCACTCTTCGCTCTCACCACTCAGCGCCTGCAGCACCGGGAGGGCGTGTCAACCCATCACCCACCCAACAACCAACCAGCCTCTGCCACCCGGGGGAAGAGCTCAACCTTTCGTAAAAGCCAGCGTCTCAAAGCTAACCGGTAAACATCCTCCCGCACTCATGTGCGCCCCCAAGACTGCCAGGAGCCCCCGCTGGATGAGCAGGGTGGGGCCTGGAGGGACAGGCCCAGGAAGCAGAGGGCGCTTGGTAAAGGGCGACTGAGAGGGCTGGAGGGCGAGGGTGTGCCGGGGGCGGGTCTGAGGAGGGGGCTTGCGCAGACGGGGTGCTCTCAGGAAGGGGGTGCGAGTCTATGATGAGCTGAAACGTTTGGCCCTCAGGTCTTTCCTCCTAATGGGAACTGGGGGGGTAGGTGTGTGAACGCGTAAGAAGAGACGCTTGGGTCTTCACCTCCATCCCTGATTTCCTCAAATGACCGCGTCCTCTTGGGCCAGAACAGCTTTGTCCCCAGGTCCCGAGCTGGCTCCGGAGCACCAAGCTGAGGGGGCACCTTGCGTCATCGGAGGAGCCCCTTCGACCGCATGCGCCCAGGACCGGCTGGGGGAGGGGGCTGGTCGCCAGGGGAACCCAAGCCATCAGAGGGTTGAATTTCAGCCCCCCCAACCCAGGAAGGAGAGGGGGGTTGGAGGTTGCGCCGGTCACCCGTCGGTTAACCGATCACGTCTGAGGCGGACGGGAATCCCTAAATTATTTGAAACGATGACCAAAAAACCACAGAAATATCCCCACACTGCAATTCCAAGAGCTTTCGGGTGGCTGCGCATGTGGAGGTGCAGGGGTGCACCTGGAGAGGGAAGCCCGCGCCCTGGCCCCAGGCCCCCTCGCCACGCAGCAGCAACAGCTCAGCTTTGCTGGGCTCCCAGGCACCCTAGCACATCCACGGAGCCTCAGAAGGGGTTGGGGAGCGGGTGGGGGGACCCTTGTGTGCTTCCACACAGAGCAGGCAGGTCCGAATGGCACTTGGAGGGGGCCTCGTGGGGTGCAGCCCCTGCCCGGGAGCCCAAGGCCACCTCCAGGCGGGCGGCACGGGCTGAGGAGGAGGCAGCAGCAGCCGCCGGAGAAGAGAGTTCTGGCGTGAGACGCGCCCCACGTGTCTGTCGGAAGCCCTGAGAGTGGAGGCGAAAGGGGCGTCTCTCCCCAGTGACAGACCCCGTGACCTCCCAAAGAAAAGCCTTTATTTATGTACAGGGCTCAGGACAGAAGAAAAAAAAACTCTAGAAAAAGGAGGTTCCAAAATAGGCCTTCAGCAGGCCGGGCAGCGGGCAGCGCGCAGGGTCCCGGCTGGCGTCCGCGCTCCCAGCCGTCACTTCCAGGTGGTGAGGATGGCTCTCCCCGACTCCCTCGATCGGAACCCTCTGGACCCCGGCGGCTGGCCCGGACGGCCCCTCAGCTCCCGGTCGGCCCCGTCGCCCTGCGCCAGCTCCTCGTCGTACCTGGAAGCAGAGGCGTCGCCAGGACACGGGGGCAGTGATGCGGGTTGCCGGCCCCCGCCGGGGCGCTCGTAGGCGGCCTTCAGCATCAGGAAGGACGGGACCCGGTATGGCTTTGGGGGACCTCTCCGCTGTCTTTCAGGGTCCTGCGCAGGTGGGGACGTGCTGCCTGGGCCGCATGGCAGGGCTGGGCTCCACACACCCCTCAGGTAGGCTGCGTCCCTCCCGCACGACCCCACCGCCCGTCTGAGGACGCGGGCAGAGGTGTCCCTGAGGCCACCCGGGGCAGCGCAGAGCCAGGACTCAAGAACACTCGGGACTCGGGATCCCAGTGGGAACGGCCCAGCCTGCGGATGGGACAAGGCGACACCTCTGGGCTCGCCGACCCTGCCCGACCCGGGAGCGGGGGCGCGGCCTCATCACCGCTGACATCAAGGGCAAAAGGCAGCAGATGCTCCGCTGGGCTGCACTGGCTGCCCTCTGCGGCCTTCCAGAACGGCGCGTTTCTGCCCTAAGTGTGTATGTTCCAGGAACCCGAACCTGCGGGCTGAGCGGTGTGGGCCGGGACTCGGGAGGCTGAGTGCCCTCTGCTGGGGGTGGAGGGCCTCCTGCACCCTGGCTCCCTCAGGGGAGAAGGCCACGTTGGGCAGAGGACACCGGGGACACGGGAGGCGGGCGGTGGGGGGATCTCCCAGGAAGCCCCCAGGGACACTCTGTCGCCTGTTCTGATGTGTCACCTCCCAGGGCCGGAGAGACCTGCAGGTCAGGCCCCTGGCTGACCCCGGCGCCTCACTCATGGGGGTGCTGCGCAAATGGAGGGGAGAAACCCACCTCTCTGAGCGCTGTGCACCCCGCCTGCTGCCGTGAGAGGCCTGCGCTGCGGCTGAACTCGGGCTCCTGACCGGCAGGTCGTCCACCCGGAGCCGCCTGCATCAGGCAGCTCAGCCAGCCCCAGCTGCGTTGGGTCCCGCCGTGATGAGGAAGGCCCCGCGGCGCCCGCGGCAGGTGGGGGGCGTCACTGACGCACGCTTAGCCCGAGACTAGACAGGCTGGGGCCGCGCCCCGCGGTCCAGCCCAGCGTCACGCTAACAAGCCCGCTCCCGCGCCACTCACAGGATCTCGTAGTTGCCGAGGACTTCCCTCGGGGGCGCCTTGTTCCACCTGCAGTCCGGGACCTCGCCGTTGGGGACGGCGATGTTGAGGGTGTCGTTGATGAGGTTGTACTTGAGGATGCGGTCGTTGGCGGTGCTGGAGGTGAGGGACGGGGACGCGTTCACCTGCAGCGGGGGGAGCACAGCTGCTCTCGCACCGGCCCGCGGTGGGGCGGGGGTCCGGGCGGGGGTTGGGGGGGGGGCGCGGCAGTCACCTCGATCAGCCAGGGCTTCAGCTTGTCGTCCACGATGATGTCGTAGCCGTAGCACTCGAAGCAGTGCTTGTCGTTGTTCATCACGGGCTGCGGGGAGCGCGCGGTTGTGGCCGGAGCCAAGGACCCGCCACCGCGCAGGACGCAGACGCCGCGGCCCTCCCTGCCCGGCAGTTCCCACCCCCACCCGGGCCCGGCCTGGCCCAGGGACGGAGGCTGCTCCTGGGCCGCAAGGCACCCAGGGGGCAGTGACAGCTCTCGGGACTCGGCTGTCACAGGCTTGACGAGCAGCACCGACGTCCCGTGCTGGAGACCACCTCGGAGTGGACGCAGCCGTCCCCGGCCTGTCGCCTGGGGGAGGCCAGCGCCACCTCGTCACCAGCACCCACGTCCACCAGCTGCCAGTCCCGCCGCGGGGCCCTGGGGGTGTGGGTGCCGGCTACCAAGCCCTGTTCTGGGACGAGTCAATCCATTCACTTAAAGCTGCTGGGTTTCCTCTCATTTCCACCTCCGTGCCAGACTGTCCTCCTGGCAGCCCCGCCAGCCACCTGCCCGCCATCCAGGCTCCCGGGTCCAGCCCAAGCTGCTGGGACTAAGACCCAGGGGGTAGAGTTTTACCCATGTACCCCACACCAGCAAAGCACACGGGTAGCACAGTAGGGTCCTCTTCTGCACTAGTGGACACGTGGACCCTGCTCACCGTGATGGATCTAGGAGGGGAGCTCCTCTGGGGAGCGGCCTCGCTTGGCCTTGTCATCTCCGAGGGAGGAACACCTGGCGGGTAGACCCCTGCACCCTGTTAGAGGACTTGTATTTCCACCGAAAGTCAGGGTCCCAGCCAGGGCAGCGCGCATACCCCGCTGTCCAGCAAGCCTCTGCAGGCTCCAGCCCTCGAGCAGCGTGGCCCCCCGAGCTCTGGTCCTCTGCATCTGCCCCCTGCTCCAGGTCTGGGAAACCTCTGGTGTCCTGTGCTAGGCCCATCACTCCTATGACTGCACCCCATTTCCACAGACCTCCTATGACGGGCATGTCCACCCAACAGCCCTGTGACGGGTGTCCAGGTCAGCTCCTAACCAGACGCTCCCTATCCACCCAGTGGCACAGAGTGTGGACGACGGCGGCACCGAGGCCTGGGCTCAGGGCTGCCACCCGGAGCGCGTGGGGGCCGCTGGCCACTCTCCCTTCTAGGATCGCCTGCGCCCCCGGCGGGTGTGTAGGTGAGACGGTGAAGACAGGTATTTGTAGCACAAGAACACGCCCCACTGCTGCACAGCGGCGGCTGGTGTCGGATTGTGCTGGGCCCCGGCCCGCCCGCTGCACCGGACTCACCGCCACGGCCTTCAGCGACTGCACGATGATCCAGTGGATCTCGTCGAACAGCTTGCTGGTCACCTCCTTGCCGCGGGTGCTCTCCAGGTAGAGCCGCAGGTTGCTGACCGTCCACTTGCCCCCGTGGATGTGGTTGTAGTCCTCCTGGGGAGGGCGCGGAGGCCTCAGGCCATGCACGAGGGGCCCACACACGCCCGCTCTTCCCGCAGCCTTTCCTGGGGCTCCCCAGGCACGAACCCCTGCCCCATGGGGAGCCAGGCCCTCCTGTCCACCCACGTTTCACAAATACCCAACCCCAGTCTGTGCGGCTCCCACAGCAAACTTTCTGCCTCTGCTGCCACGGTGCCCGCGAAACAGCCGGCGGTGAAGTGGGAGAGAAAGCAGAGGCAGGCATGACACTTGACCCAGCAACCCCCGCCTTCTGCTCTCTTCCCGTGGAGTCTTTCCTATTGATGCAAACAGTGGCTGATGGCCTCCACGGGAACCCTCTGACCTCAGTCTGCCATCCCCAGGTGGGTGCAGCTGGGCACGGCCCCCCGGGTGCCAAGCGGGCTGGAGGGTGGTCTCCCCACCTGCCCCATGCAGACATCACCCAGGTGTTCCTCGGCCTTGCAGGGTCTGAGGCCATGGCTCGGCCTCCAAAGGGAAGTGAGTCTCATGCCCGGTCATCTGAGGGGTCACGTCCCAGTTCTCACTAACCACCTCTGGCCATGTCCTTTCTGCGCTGCCCCTGAACGCCACCCCTGCGATGCCCTCAGCAGGTGAGCAGGGGCGGCCTCACGTGGCGACGGTGGCAGCTCTCAGCCGTTTTAGTGTCATCGCACAAACAGCGAAGTAAATCCCGGGCGCCGTTCGCAGACCAGGCGTGGGTGACTTGCCCCCATCAGCGTGGGAGTGAGTGACGTGGGCCCACCTGCAGGCGGATGGCCCTCGCTCTTCAGCAGGTCGCCCAGAAGAGCCTGTTCCATACCAACACTTCCCTCTTTGGACTCAAACAACAGTAAAGCCAGGGTATTCAAGGCCTCCACTCAAACAAGACTCAAACGCAAGAGCCTCCAATTTAAAAATATGAGACCGGGCCTCTCCGGTGGCGCAGCGGTTGAGCGCTGGGTTGCAAAGCTGCCCGCGGTCTCTGCGGCGCCGGTTCAATCCCTGGCTGCTCCCCGGCCACCGGAGGAGGGTCCCACATGGCGCGCAGACCTCTCCTGCCGCCCGCTGCTCCCCTCAGCAGTGTACCTTGGTCCTTCTGTCTGCTCTGCTCCCCGCTCTGGCTCTGGTGAACTCTCTCACCCTCCCGCGCTTCTGACTGTACCCAGTGCATGTATAACAAACAAACAAAACAAAATAAATAAATAAATAAAACATGCCTCTATTAAAAAAAAAAAAAAAATAAAAATATGAGACCTTGAAAATTTTTTGTTAGAACTAGCTCGAGCCTGTCCCCAGGCCCGCACAACACTGACAGCGTCCTGTGTCCTGGCCAGACGCTTCTCACTCCACGTCCTCACTCCGGGGCTCCAACTGCCCTGACCGCCTTCCAGTTCCTACAACGCTTCTTCCTACCACAGGGCCTTGGCACCTGCTGCGCCTCAGCTAGAACACTTCTCCCACCTCCACCAGGGTAGCCCCCGCTCACTTCAGGTCTCAGTTCAGGCACTTCTGCCTGGAAGCCCTCTCTGACCACCTGGACGAGGGGACTTGGCCTTCCTATGCTCTTCTAGACCTGTGTTCTTCATCCTGAGAGCGCACACCTCAGGCTGTGACTGCACACTCGTCACCGTGGTTATCTGATGAAAGTCTTCCCGCTACCGGCGAAGGCCCGTGGGAGGAGAGAGCAAGGTTGTTCTGCCCATCGCTGGAGCCCCAGCACGCAGCAGGGACCCACCAGGACAGGCGCTCAGTGAGCGTTTGCTGAGTGAATGAGCATCTGAGCGTGAGTCTTCTCATATTAGCCTCCAGCAAGCCGAGAGGGGAGATTAGCTCTTTCACAGATGCAGAAGATGACGCTCTGAGGGGCAAACGGACACCCAAAGCCACACAGGCGGGGCCTGATGCTGGTTCTTCCCGTGTCCAGGTGCCCCACCTTCGGGCTGGGTCAGCTGAGGGGCCAGGCCAGGCACCCAGGGCCCCTGAACGCCCCCTCCACCCACCCCACCGCCAAGAGAGAAAAGCAGGTTAAGACCTGCCAATGTCCCTGGACCCGGGGGCGGCACATACCCCGTGTTTCTGAATGGCCACGTTGGTGAGGTGGACGAACATGTTGTCCAGCTCGCTGGTGCTGGGGGTGTACTTGACCGTGCAGAAGCGGCAGAACCCGAGCTTGTACCTAAGCGGAATTCAGGCCGCTCAGCGCTCGGAGACGGCGCGTCACGAAACCAGACACTCGGTTCCCTTAAAAGAGCTGCTATTTCTGTTTTACATTTCTAGGAGGATCGCTTTTTAGGGTTCATTTTTCCCGACAGCCTCCCTGAGACGTGATTCACGCGCCCAGCAGCCTGGCTACTCAGTGTACAAGGCAGAGCTGGTCGTGTCTGCCACCCTGGTGCCGGCACCTCATCGCCCCACCCAGAGCCCCCAGGCCCTTCGCCAGCCCTGCCGAGCCCCCGTCCTGGGCCAGCAGCAATCTCCTGTCTGCGGACAGGTGTCCACTCGGGGCACACCACACAGAGGGGATCAGACAAGAGGAGGCCTCAGTGTCTGGCAGGTGGGTCAGGTTAAAAGGCTGCTGTTTAGCTTGTGGGGTCTCACCAGCGCATCTGGGCTAACCACGCTGCTGGGCCCCAGCGAGCACCGGTCAGGGCCTCAGGGCGCAGTCTAAGAAGGCAAGCGAATCTCGGGGCTCACATGTAGCAGCGCAGCGGGCGGTAAGTGGACACCAGCACGTACAGGCGCAGGTCAAACTTCCTCCCGCCGATGAGCAGCGGGTTGTTGATGTAGAGGGAGATCACATAGGCCTCCTTCGTGGACTGAGACACGAACCTAAACGCAGCAGAGCGGGTCGCACCAGGGCCGGGACCAGGGAGCATCCAGTCGTCGGTCTAAACGCCCAGCTGGTCAGTGAGGGGGCGGTTGACCCGACCCTGGGCTCCCAGCAGGACAGTGCTCCCCACCCCGGCCTGCCCAGCTGAAGCTGGCAACGGGAATCAGATCTGAAGGTAGGGCGCACGGAGAGGGTGTCCCCGCTGCCTGAGGGGTGAGCCCAGTCCACAGCGCCACAGTGACTCCTGCAGCCTCAGGCACCCCGAGCAGTGAAGGTTCTGCAGAGACACAGTGAGGCCCTGCAGGCCCCGGGAGATGACCTGGCCGGCCACCTTGTGCCGCCGCCCCCGCTGAGCACCATGCTGACGAGCGCTCAGGGCAGATGGACTCTGTCCATCCCCACTGTACCCTGCGGGCTGGTGCCAGGAGTACCCCCGGGTTACCCAGGGGAGGAATCCAAGGGTCCACACAAAAAACTGACCCAGATTCCTATCAGGGATTCACACCCAGATACTGGGTCCAGGGGTTCAGCTCCAGCTTCGCGGCCTCAGAATCATCACGGCTCAGTGGTCTCCGATGTTCAGAAGACACGGCAGCCGGCAAAGCAGGGCTCTGGGGCCTGATGCTGGCTGGGGACTAGCTGACCTTGGGTCGGGTGGCACTACCTGTAATGACGCTATGGGGGGCACGGAGCCTGGCCGACACCCCAGAACCAGCAACACCCCCTCACCCCCGCCAAGTCTGAGGCCCACAGGACGCGTGCGGCAGGTGCCGTCCCCCACTTACGAAGACGTCTTGCTGTCCCGGGACCACTTTTTGATCTGCGAGAGCTTGTTGATGAGAAAGATGCCCTTGCCCTGGGCTTTGCCGCAGGGCTTCATGATCCAGGTGCTGGAGGGGCTCTTCCTGAACTCCTCCACGAACAGGTTGTAGTCGGCCGGCAGCATGTAGGTGACCGGGACAAAGTCTGGGGGGCGAGGAAGGGGGATGGTGGGCGCCAGCCCAGCGGTGGCCGCGAACAGGACACGCGCGGCCCTCTGGGGGGTCTGCTCACGGCCCGGCCCAGCCCCTCCGCCACAGGGGCCTCCGCTGCCCATGGCGTGGTGAGGTCACCGTTACTGCCTGTGCCAGCACTGCACACGCGGTGCCCCACAGCAACTTCTAGGGTGACATTACCGCCCCCATTTTTTAGGAGAGAATCAAGAGGTCAGTTATGCACTTTTGCCCAGAGATGTAAAGGGTAAAGGGAGTCTGGAATGCCCCATGGCCCAGATGTTCGCACCAGGCAGGACGGGGGCACACAAGACAGGGTCTGACACCGTCGCGGCCCCTTGTACCGGGCACCCCCACTCCGGGCACTGAGGGCCCTCCTCTCACCACACACAGTGTACCCCAAGGCACCCAGTGGAACTCAGGTTCCAAACTCGAGGGCCCCCCAATATTCTGCAGACAGTGGTAAGGGGGATGCCCACACCTTGTAAAACACACCCGCCCATCCAAGCCCTTGAGCCGCTGACAGAAAAAGCACAAAGATTCATCTAGAACAGGTGGTTGGGGAGGCACGAACCCAGGTAGAGGTATTTCCCGTTTTCATCCTTCTCCGCCAGGGGACTCCCTTCCTTCTCCAGCTCCTTCCTGTATCTCTTAATATTCTTCACCATCAGGTCCTTCCGGGTCAGCTCGTAGTGATTCGGGAAGTGGTTGACGATCTGATCATCTGAGAGGCGGTAGCCCGTCTCCACGCTGAAAACATTCCGGATGGTCTGCACGCTCATCCTGAAGAGGGGCGCGCATGAGAAAGCCTGGAGTGTGTCCTCGTGGGCCTGGGGTCTCCTGGCCAGGAGGCACTTCCTCGGGGCACTGCCCTGTCCCCCTGCCCTGTGCCTGAGCCGGGAGGTGTCCGGGCCCTGAGCCGGGGCTGTTAGCAACAGGAGCTGTTCCGATCCTGCCCTGAACGCTTCCCTCCCCAGTGCGGAGCAGACGCCCAGGAAAGCTGACTCCCGAGCACACTGGCCCTGAAGTGGGGCCTGACACAGGCACAGTCGGGAAGGATCCCTCTAAGGCCAGACCCTCTGGGGGGCCCTTGCAGGGCCCTGAGTCACTCCAGAGAGAGCTCTGACAGGCCAGCTGCCCGGGGCTGCCCTGACTGAGCTGGAGGGGAAACAGGCCCTCCCAACAAGGGTGCAGGCGGCTGCCCCGAGTGCTGGGCACAGCTCTTCAGAAACACTCACCAGTAGAAGTTCCAATCCTCGTTTTCTGTCACCTGGACCCATCCTCTCTTCTCAAAGTTATTTATCAGCACCGACTTCTCAATGTCGGTGACCCACTTCACTTTTCCTGCCATAATCCTGTAAGAAAGCCACTTCTTGGAGCCCAGAACCTTCGACGACCAGCTTTCCCTCACACAAAGGAATCTTTTACATGCCACGAGTTTCATGGCCCCCAGCCCAAGCCCCCAGCAGCCTCAGCAGAGTCCAGGCTGTCTGCCCCACGTCGTGTGGCAATGTCTGGGGGGCGTTTGTCACAACTGGGAGTGAGGCCTCCTGGGATACAGTGGGTTGAGGCCATGGATGCTGCTCAATATCCCACAACACACAGGGTGGTCCCAGCACACAGGGTGGCCCCACAAGTTACCAAGCCCAAAACAGCAACACCACCAAGATCCAGAAGTCTCGCCAAGTGAGTGATAAAGGCAGCAATTAAATAATCACTACAAATATTCCATCCCAACTGCCACAGGAGCCGCAAGGAGACAAACTTGGGGTTGAGAGAGGCGGCAGGAGGGTGGGCAGGCTGCCCTGAGCAGGGGGCCCTGGATCTGACTTGGGGGGAGTACCTGGGAGTATCTATCCCCGAGGACACTTGAAGACTCCTGGGGCTGCACCTACCATAGGTACTTATGGAGCCGGCGGGGACCTGCAGCAGCTCTTCTGCTTCACAAACTCCTGCCTCTGGCTCCGGCCTAAAATGAAACCAGCACACAGATGACACGCACACACGGCAGGAGCCTGAGCTGCTGCCTTCATGACAGCCAGGTGGAGGCCAACCAGGGCATTCTGAGCAGGGGGGTCTTTTGTTAACAAGTGCACACCGGGAGATGCCTTCCGGGTCTGCTCGTGGTACTTGGTTCCTGCTGACGTTTATGACCTGCCATCCTACCCCTTCATCACACACACCCTCGTGCAGACGAGCCGCATTCCAGGCCTGGCCCCGGCTGTTCTGCCCACCTGAACGGCCCACCACTCCCTAGCGGCCTCCCCCCCATCACAAGGCCCAGGTCACTTTCCCCAGGGAGCTGTCCCAAGCCTGCCCTCAGCCCCCTGCACCTCTCCTGCCTCCTCCATCAGCAGGCATCTCCTGTCCCCCACCCCCTGGACCCCCTCCGTGGACATTCCTTCTGTAAGCGCAGGGGTGCACTTCCCTGATCCCGCTCATCCCAATGATTTTTTTTTTTGGATTTGGGTAAAATCCAGCAAAGCTCCCAGGTCATCTGCCCAGCCCAGTGATCTCTTCACAGGACCCAGGGCAGCCCCGCAGCGGACACATCCTCAAGTACCTGCTTCGCTGGAGATGCCCATGGAGGTGGACCGTGTTCCCCAAAAGGTATGAGCTAAAACCCCCAAATGACCCATAAGGATAAGACACTTTCACGTCTGGCGTGACCCCCTGCAGAACCCCGGCTGCTCAGTGAGGCGGACGACCGCCTCGGCCGCACCCGCCTCACTGACCAGCACTCGGGGCGAGGCAGGCCCAGGGCCCCCCCCCCCCCCGGGAGGCGCACCAGGGGCCCCGGCCCCGCCTCTGCAAGGCGCCCCGAGGCACAACACGGGCTGCGAACGGTCGGGAGAGGCCGGGACACGGCGGCTCCGCGACGAGCAACGCGAACCCCGGACGGGAGGCTCCGCGCAGGACCCAGCGCTCGCGGGGGGCAGGGGGCGCGGGTCCCGGAGCCGCCGCCGGCCAGGCCGCCACCCCGGCGCCCCGCCCCGCCCCGCCCGCCCCGGCGCGGCCTCACCTCTGGGCGCCGCGCGCGGGAGCCCCGAGGAGGGCGCAGCGGCCGCCCCGCCCCAGCCCGCCCGGCGCTCGCCCGAGGACGCCGCCCGCAGCCCCGGGCCCGGCCCCGCGCGCCCACTTCCGGGACGCGCCCGCCCGCGCCGCGACTGCTTCCGGGGCGCCGCCCCGGCAACCGGGACGCGCCCGCCCGCGCCGCGACTGCTTCCGGGGCGCGCCCTGCGCGGGGGCGGCGGGCGGCGACCCCCGCCCAAAGCCGCGGGGCCCAGAGGAGGGGTCGGGGCGACGGGGGGCGCGGCCGGCGGGCGCGGCCCTTCCGCCTCTAAAATCGCCACTTTTTAAGAAATTTGCCACCGACGTTGACCCTGCCCCCTAGGACTGCCGTGGGGGTCCCGGGACGGGCCCTGGGCACCTCGACGCTCCCGGAGGCGCCCCCCGCGCGGGCAGGTCGAGTCCTCGAAGTACAAACTGTGGGGCCTCCCCGGGGCGCAGCGGGTGGGGCGCGCGCCGTGAAGCCGTCCGCAGCCTCTGCAGCGCGGGGTCGAGGCCCGGCCCGCGCGGGCGCTGCCCACAGGGCGCAGCAGACTCTCCTGCCGCCCGCTGCTCCCCTCAGCAGTGGACTTCGGTCCTTCTGCCTGCTCTGCTCCCCGCTCTGGCTCTGGTGGGTCCTCTTGTTACAGGGCAACCCCGATATTGAACGGGGTGCCCGGCTGTGGGTCCTCACCCGCGCGCTTACAAGGGACTTATGAACACTCCACTGCAGGACACACGAAAGGTTCATAAAAGGTTTATTTACAAGGGAAAAGGAAATAAGGAAAATGGACAACTCAGGGGGAAAATAGGGAAATAAAGTCTTTCATGCGTCCCACCCGATCCGCCGACCTGGAAACCCAAAGGCACTCTCCGAGCTGGCCGGACGCTGCGAGCTGGCGGGGAGCCAAAATGGGGGACCCCCCCCCAAAGCCCACGTGTCTGGCTTTATACCCACCTGGCTGCTGAACCCCACCCTCAGGCCCCAGCCACCTTCCCTTGGGTGGGGATGGGATGTGGAGTTCCCAGTGTCTTTGGCTTTGGCCTGGGGTGGGGGTGGAGTCCACACAGCCTGTATGGGATTAGCTTTAGGACAGCCTTTTCCCCTAACACTCTCACCCCCCCGCATCTCTGGCCTGTACCCCAGCTCTTGTATAAATACATAAATCTTAAGTGTATATATATATATATATATATATATATATATACATACACACATATAAACTGTCAGGAGGAGGCAGCCTGTTTCGAGAGAGCCTTAAAACTGAAGCTGGCCACAGGTCGAGTCCGGGCTCACAGCCACCCCAGCCCCAGTTTCCTTTTCTGCATCAGCTCTAACAGCCTCGCGGTGAAGGGTTTTGAGATTATCTAAACAGGTTTCTAAAAGGAAGGCACTAGGAATAGCACACACTAGTTACTCGAATACTTGTTGAATTAATTAATAATAAAAGAGCCTGTGTCCCTGACATCTGTCAGCCATTTAAAAGCACCCTTAGAGTCAGCAGGAAAGAGGAGAAACAATTTCCATCCCTGCTCTGATACTTTCTGGCAGTCCTGTCTCTTACTTAAAATTTCTTTTTTTTTTTTTTTGAAGATTTATTTATTTATGCACACAAGCACTGGGGTACAGGCCAGAGGTGCAGCAGGGTGAGAGGATTCACCAGTGACAGAGTGGGGAGCAGAATAGGCAGATCCACTGAAACACACTGCTGAGGGGAGCAGCGGGGAGATGGGAGAGGTCTGCTGTGCCCTGTGAGTCAGCTCCCTGGCAGGGGATGGAACTCTCCTGTCTCCCTGCTGCTCCCCTCAGCAGTGTGTTTCAGTAAATCTGCCTGTTCTGCTCCCCACTGTCTCTCATGAATCCTCTCACTCCTCCCACCTCACGCCTCTGGCCTACACCCCAGCTCTTGAATGCATAAACAAATAAACATTAAAAAAGAAAGAAAGAGGCGAGGGTGGGATCAACATGGCAGCGGGGAAACGCTGCGAGTAAGTCCTCCCATTTAAAAAAAAGTTAATAGGGAGGAAAAGCGGCAGGTCCCTGCGAAAACCAGGATGTGGAAGATAAACTGGTGACTGGCAAACTACCAAAGAGGAAAATTGCCATAAAAGAGGACAAAAAGAGAGGAAAGCTCAGAACCCTGCTACCCTCCCCCACCCTAAAAAAGAAAGAAAGGAAAGAAATAGCCTTAACCCAGATGGATGTTTCCCGATTCGGTTTTCTTTTTAAACAATTTAAAAAAAAATTTTTTTTTAATAGAGGCATATTTTATTTATTTGTTTGTTTGTTTTGTTTATACAAGCACTGGGTACAGTCAGAAGATCGGGAGGGTGAGAGAATTCACCAGAGCCAGAGCGGGGAGCAGAGCAGGCAGAAGGACCGAAGGACACTGCTGAGGGGAGCAGCGGGCGGCAGGAGAGGTCTGCGCGCCATGCGGGACCCTCCTCCGGTGGCCGGGGAGCAGCCGGGGATCGAACCGGCGCCGCAGAGGCCGCGGGCAGCTTCGCAACCCAGCGCTCAACCGCTGTGCCACCTGGGAGGCCCTCCTGATTCGGTTTTCTGCGTAAGTGACCACCTGCTAAGCACCTAAGACACAGCTGGATGGCAGGAGAGATCGTCCCCCTTGGCCAAACTGAGGAATTCCTGGAAGGAGGCGAGAACAGACACATGGGGCGACCTTAGCAGAAACGAGGACAACTACTCCCCGCCCGGCAAAGGGAGAAGGTCCCCAAGCTGTGTTTTCTGAACAAAACCCTGGCACTGCCCTGCGATAATGGACACGCACGGGCAGTTGACCGGACGCTGAATTCACAACCACAGGTCCGTCTCCTTCGGGAGGGGACGATCCTTGGTGTCTAGGCTGAAGCCACGTGCCTGTGGCCAAGGGGCTGGCCCTTCTCACTGCTGCTTCCCTGGAAAGGAGACGCTTCCAGGAGGGACTGGTACAATCCTCTCCAAGGCCCCCTGGGCAGGTGCAAATTCGGCCCGTCTGCATTTCCGTTTAGCGCCAGCCAGTGGCGCCAGCTCTCATGTGGGGCTTGACCCTCCAAGTTCACTCCTGCGGCTGCCGGGTCTCCTCTCTCCCGTCCCCTCCAGCCTGTGAGGTCACCTTAACCCCAGGAAATGACCGGGAACAGGAAGATCAGACAAGTGAGGCGCTCACAGGGCTGGCATCGCTGGCCCGCAGCGGGCACTCGGTAAAAGTTGGCTCCTGGATGAGGCAGCACCAGGACTGGCTTCCTCGGGGCCAGGCTGGCTGCGGCCCTTCCAGCCTCCTCCCAGGACAGGCGACTCCATGGCAGGACACCCTCCTGCACAAAGTTGACACAAAGCCTATCCAGGTGTTTTATTTCACTAAAAACACGTTGGCTAAGGGCCGGAACTAGCTACCCCCCTGTGGGTCCCAGCACAGAATGAAAATGCAGATTCCCTTGTTCAAAAGCCAGTAAGAACTTCATCACAGCCTCATTAAAGCAAGTCCAGGGTTTCCGTGCAGGAGATGGGGTTCAGTAGACAAGAGCCCAAGCCCGAACACGAGGACGGGGCCGGGTGGGGGCGCTGCCAGGCCACATCGCTCCCCTGCTGCGCAGGCCACATCGCTCCCCTGCTGCGCAGGCCACATCGCTCCCCTGCTGCGCAGGCCACATCGCTCCCCTGCTGCGCAGGCCACATCGCTCCCCTGCTGCGCGTAGGACACGCCCGAGAACCCAGCCACAAGGCCCTCATCGAACCCTCCCCAGAATCCTGCCCAGCGGGGGGTGTTAGCCCACTTTTTAAAAAGTGATAAAACACACTCAGTCTAGAATTTACTCTCTTACCCATCTTCTCAGGCGTATGTTCAGGGGCGTTGGCTATATTAACATTGTCATGCAACCAACATCCAGAACTTAATCATCTTGCAAAACTGAAACTACCAGCTCAGCGCTACGGCTCAGTCCTCTCCCCCGAGTCCCTGGCACACACCATCCTCCTCTGTCTCTGTGAGCTTGACTAGTCGGTCTGCCTCAGTTAAGTCAAGGACATGGCATCTGTGTTTTGTGTCAGGCTGATTTCAGCATCGTGGCCTCACAGTTCATCTGGGTCGTAACGTGACGAGTTCCTTTTTTAAGGCTAGTAATATTCCGATATGTACACAGCTGCTCCCTGACTTGGGGTGATTTAACTTGTGACTCGTCACTTCACGATGGCACAAGAGTGATCCTCATTCACAGAAACCACAGCTTGACTGCCGCGGACCAGCACAGCAGTAGACGATGAGGCCGTCTCAGGGTTGAGAGACACACAGACACACTTCAAGAAAGTGTAAATCTGAGTGCAACTTTATTTGAGTCAGTGGTCAGTATATATATGTTTTCTAAAAGCATAGAACAGTGAACATCAAAGAAATCAGCTTGCTCATAGGTTTAGCTTATCATTGACAGGGCAGTGATTTATGTCCAAAATACATCTGGACCTAGCCGCATTCCTAAGTAGACAGGCTATTAACTCTTTATATTCTTGTTCTACATAATTATATTCTTGTTGTACTTACTACTACTACTACTACTACTACTTACTTACTACTACTTACTACTACTAATATACTACTTATATTCTTTTTTATTATTATTTTTTTTTAATAGAGGCATGCTTATTTATCTATTTATTTGCCCGTTTGTTTTTTTTTTTTTTTGTTTATACAAGCACTGGGTACAGCCAGAAGCGCGGGAGGGCGAGCAAACTCACCAGAGCCAGAGCAGGGAGCAGAGCAGGCAGAAGGACCGAAGCACACTGCTGAGGGGAGCAGCGGGCGGCAGGAGAGGTCCGCGCGCCATGTGGGACCCTGCCCCGGTGGCCGGGGAGCAGCCGGGGATCGAACCGGCGCCGCAGACGCCGGGGGCAGCTTCGCAACCCAGCGCTCAACCGCTGCGCCACCGGGGAGGCCCACTACTTATATTCTTGTTGTACTACTACTACTTACTACTACTACTACTACTACCTACTCATGTTTACTCATAATTAATTGTCATGGGTGAATTTACATTATAATGCAGTTAATATCAAAGGTACTAAAGTCAAGCACATAACAGAAAGATTATTAAACCAACAATTCTATTATAACACAGTGTTTAGTAATGTTTCATTTGCATTAGCCTAATTATTAAATTACGTATGTTTTTTAATTAGCAATCAATGACCAGAAAAAGGAAAGATTTTAGAGAGACAGTTGTAGTAGAATAAAGTTTATGGGCCTTGAGAAAGCGAGATAAGCTTCCAGGTGGTCAGCATTTCTTTTAACCATCTTTGTGGCAGCTTCTGGTGGTCGTTATCTCTTGGCAGGCATTCGGCTTCTCTGCATCTTAGGGAGTTCGCTGTTCTCCCCCTGCGCGCATGGTTCCTTGCCCACACCGGACCTCAGGGACCATGGCAAGAGCCATTAGCCCTGAGGGTCACTGCAGGGGGAGGTGCAGCACTTGACTTTTGGTCGGGGGCATTCGGCTCTCACTCCCAGCATGTATTCAGCAAACGGTCACCACTTTTTTGGGTAGGCTTGTGTTAGACGAGTCTGCCTGGGTGGGGGTTGTGTACGCGTCTGAGCACGTTTAAGGTGGGCTCGGCCAGGCTACGATGGCCAGTAGGCATTTTTGAATTACGACGTTTTCACCTTATGTCGACTTTTTTGGGCCCATGCCCGTGGCACAATCAGCCCCGTAGACCATGTTGTTTCTCCACTCATCAGCGGACATTTGAAATTCTTTCTGCCTTCCGGCTGCTGTGGACACGGGCACGTGCATCTAGGCTCAAGGCCCTGCTTTCACTCATGCGGGACATAGACCCAGCAAAGGAATTGCAGACTCATACGATAATTAATTCTATGCTTAACTGTTGAGAAACTGCCATGCTGGTCTCGTGGCCTCCCTCTTCACACGCCCCCAAGGGCACGGGGCTTCCGGGTTCTCCACGCCATCCGCATGGCCTCTTCTCTACTTTCTGCAGCGCCACCCCGAGGGGTGGGCTGTCACCATGCTCATATCCGGAGGCTGAGGCTCGAAGACAGCAAATAGCTGGCTGAAGACCGCAAAGCTGGTTCATGTCATCAGTTCAGCTGGCGTCCCCGAGTGCCCAGCCCGACTCGCCCTGCCCCCAGGAGGCTGCTCAGTCGTGGTCCAGGTGCCAATCAGGACGCCTCAGGGGCTGCAGAGCCAAGCCCGCTGGCTCCTGAGGCCAGGGAGATTCCCCACGCTGCCCCCAGGGTGTGTGGAAGCAGCACCTGCCTGTCCCTACCCAGAGCCAGGCACCCCCAATGTCTGTCACTGTCTGGGAAGGATCTTCAACCCCAGGGGTGGTGGGAGGCAGGGCGACCCCTCACCAGCCAGCTGGGTGCTCAGTCTTGCGGGGGAGGCAGCTTTCAATCCCCTACCCTCCCTCCACCCTTCTCACCCTTTCTGTGCCCCGGAGGGACCCCGCCCCTCCGCCCTCTTGCTGGGCAGCTGCTCCCCCCCACCGTGCCCCTGCCTTGGGGTGTCCCAGGTGTTGGCCCCTCCACCAGGTAGGCTGAGTAGGTGTGCAGCAGGGGTGGAGGAAGAATGATAACAACAGACTCGATTTATATCCCGCAGAGCCGCCCACGAACTGTGGCTTTGAGCACTTAACTTCTTCCAGGCTGGTTCTTCCTCTCAAAAATGGAGTTTGGGGCAGAGCCAGCTTCTTGGAGTTCTGAGGGCCCGGTAACATATCAGCTCCATCGCAAAAAGGGGCAAACTGCAGGAATTTAAATAAAAAGAAATTTTTCCTAGAATAGAAAAAAATCCAAAAATGCTGTGTTCTCCTGGGGAAGTCCTCACTCTCCCAAGCAGGACAAGGGAGTTTGGGGTAGTTGTGATTAGCATCGTGAGACTGAAAACTTGAGGGCCTAGAGTGAGGAAGGGCACCCCACTTTGCCTGCATGGCCTCAGCTTCCTCCCCTGTAAAGTGGGAACAGCAAACGTCTGCTGGGAGCATACAAAGAACTACAGAGGGGCCACCATGGAGGGTCAGGGTGCAGGGGAGAGAAGGTGCCTTCTGGGATACATAGATCAGAGGAAGCCTGGGCAGGAGAGGCCCTCCCCGGGCGCCCCTCCAGCCGAGGCTTGGACAGCCGGGGCCTGACGCCAGGCCGGCCCACCCTTGCCGAGTGCGGGTGCGTGAGCTGCTGGGGCTGCTCTTATTGTTTAGAAAAAATCTGCTATCACGCTGATAAGCTCAGCTGTCAGAAGGGATGTTATTTCTGGGTGAAAAGAGATTCTGCAGGTCTGGGGCTCCTTCCTGCCTGCTCGCACGGGCCTGGTCCCGCCGCCTGCCCGGCTGGAGCGATAACCTGGGGCCTTGAGCCTGCCCCTGGCAGGGACGGCACTGGCTGCTGCCGCAGGCCACCGAGCCTTTTGCCCAAGGCTCCCTGGGGCTGCCGGGCAGACATTACCTCCTCTGTCCCCTGGATTCCTGGAATTGTCTGACGGAGGGGAGACCTGTTCTCCATCCCCCTGACAGGGCACATGAGATGAGGTTATTTCGGTCACACGGCCCATTTGTTTTTTGGCCCAAACGCGTGTCTATTAAATTGTTGTGGCAACGATCCGCGTCCTCGCTCTGAAACGCACTGGTCCTGTTTTCAATGGCGATATTATCCTTGTCACTGGCAAAGCTGGCCTCTCTGCTTCCACCCCGGGCTCGGCCTGCCAAGGACCGCTGGCAGCCAGCATTCTGGGCCTCCATTCCAATCCTTGCTTTTGGCTGTCTCGAGCCTGACCCATTGGGCGTCTTTTTTTAAAAATTTATTTATGTATGCAACAAGAACTGGGGTACAGGCCAGAGGTGTGGGGGCTGAGAGGATTCACCAGAGACAGAGCGGAGAACAGAACAGGCAGACTGACTGAAATACACTGCTGAGGGGAGCAGCAGAGAGACAGGAGAGGTCTGCTGCGCCATGTGGGTAGCTCCCTGGCTGGGGATCAAATTCGTGCTGCAGTGGCTGCGGACAGCTTCCTAGTGCTGCGTTTTAACCACTGCACTAGCAGGGAGGCCCCTCCATTGGACTTCTTTTGCTTGAGTTTATTTTGTAGTCCTGGGTTAGAAGGCATACCAAGAGGGCACATCAATACATGTATGCACGTGTGGACTCCCTGTGCCCACCATCCCTAGCACTCCCAGAAGTCCCCTCCTGCTCCTGCTCCTTCCCAGCCAATACCTGCCCCCACCTCGAGGGCGGTCACACTCACCTCCGTCTCTGGATCCTCTTGGCCTGTGCGTCTACCTTGCCCGTGTCTGTAAGAAACTGTCACGTTGACTCCAAGAATGACCCTCATTCAATTCGCACACTATCTAGAAGGGAAGGAAAAGCCCACTGAATAGTCATCACACCATTAAACACTTCCAGCTTCTAGAAAGTTCCATAGAGATGTGGAGGCGAATGATGCTGTCTTTCCCTTTTCATCAGCTTGTATCGCCCTTGTCATTCCATGGCCCCGCAAGCAGGACAGTGGCCTTCTGTGCGCACCCCTGCTGCAGACCTTCAAGGCTGTGCAGGGCGGCCTCTTGGGTCGCCTGCTGAGGGCAACCAGGTGGTTTCCCATATTGGACTTTCTCTTGTTTACAAGAGCAGAAAACCCGTCTGTCTGTCTGTCTGCCTGCGGTGCTCCGGCACTCAGTGGGCACCTGAGTGAGTGCATGGAGACCCTTGTCCACACATCCGTGCCAACGAGTTTAACTAAACTCGTTTAGCTAAAAAGTTCCAAAAAATGAGATTGCTGACCCAAATATAGTGGGGTTTTGGGGTTTTAGGTTCTAAACTGTCAAAGTAACTTCCAGAAAGATTCACTTACTCAAGTTCTCATTCTACCAATTTCGATGGAAACACCTACTGTCCTGGGGGCTGGGGTGGGGTCATGGGATCATGCCCTCCCCATGGAGCCCAGGGGGATACCTGGGCTTGTGCCTCCGCCACGCCCCCAGGCCCCACCAGCTCCGTCACTGTGAGCGTTGGAAACATTCGCTGTCTGGAGAAAAGGGGCATCTTGTCTGTGTTCTCAGTGACTTTTCTGTGGCTGCCCCTGAGGGGAAGACCCTTCATCCACCATCCAGTCACTTGCGTTAGTTACTTCCTTCAGCACATAGTGCTTTGAACACCTACTCTGTGTCAGCTATCGCTCTAGGTTCTGGGGATACTGCAGTGAAAAGGGGAGCAAAGATCTCTGCCCTGGGGTGGGGCTCATATTCCAGATGTGGAGGAGACAGATGAAAATCAAGCAGTGAGCAACAGTGTAACAGACACAACAGCAATCAAGAACCCCGGGAAACCCAGGCGGGCGCTGTCAAGGGGCTTGCTGGGGTCGGCCTCCTGGGTAGGTGGCGTTTGACACAAGACTTACGGCCAGAAGACAAACCTGCAGGTGTGTGACACAGGGCCACCCCGAGGAAGCTGCGGTGCAAAGGCCCTGGCAGCCAGAAGGCTGTGGCAGGAGCCTGGCACAAGGCCATTGGGGCTGGAGCGGAATGAGCAACCAGGAGAGAGGAGAGTAGCAGAAAATGAGGCCCCAGAGGTAAAATCAGGCTGGATTACATAGGTCCCTGAGGACGCTGGCTTTTAGGCTGTGTAAAAAAGAGAGCCCTGGGGGGATCTGATGATGGAGCAAGACAGTCGGAGCCTCATTTCAGTACCCGGGAGCAGTGTGTAGACAGTCGGGCAGCAGAGGTGGCAGCAGGAAGACCAGCGAGGAGGCGACAGTAAAAGCTGGCTAGAAAGTGGTGAGATTCTGGGTATATTTTCAGGATCACACCAACAGGATTTGCTGCTGAATCAGCAATAATCACTTTCTTTTACAATATGACAACTTAGCGCTAAACTGGCTGGCTTATGGGCCTCTCTGATGGCACAAGGGGTTAAGCACCACACTATGAAGCTGTCTACAGCCTCTGCAGCACCAGTTCAATCCCAGGCCGGCCAGAAAACTACCCACAGGGCGCAGCAGACCTCTCCTGTCTCCCCGCTGCTCCCCTCAGCAGTGTATTTCGTCAGTCTGCCTGTTCTGCTCCCCACTCTGTCTCTGATGAATCCTCTCACCCCTGCACCTCTGGCCAGTACCCCAGCTCTTGTATGCATAAATAAATTTTTGGAAAAAGAATAATCAGAACTAATGCCTCCATCTAAAAAAATAATTTAAAAAATAAATAAACTGGCCGAATTAAAGCAGCAAAGTGTCCGCAGTCCTTGACCTCGCACAGTTGGGGTGAATCAGGAATCAGGAGCCCCTCACTGGAGGGCTCGGTCTCAGGGTCTTCATGAGGCCTGGGCCTCTGGAGGCTCCTCTCGGACTGGGGGACCTGCTTCCTGGGCTGGGTACCCACCTGGGATTGGCTGTTGGCCAAAGGCCTCAATATCTGCCCGCATGAGTCTCTCCACAGGGGGATTGAGTGTCTGCAGCTGGTGCCCCCAGAGTGAGCGACCTGAGGGAACAAGAGCCAGGCAAGAGCCATCCCTTGAGGGTCTGGCCTCAAATATTCTGTAGCATCAACGAAAAGAGCAAAAGGAAATCTGGGAGGGGAGGAGGCAGAGGCACAGGGGGAGGAACAAAATTGGGGGGAGGGAAGAATAGAAGAAAAGAAAAAAGAAAACAGAAAAGAAAAACAAACAAACAAAAACCCAAGCCAGAAATCCCGCAGCATTGCCTCTAGCACATTCTATCCTTTGGCAGCGTGTCCCAGGGCCCAGGATCGAGCAGAAGGCTGTGTGGACACTGCCGAGGACGTCTGCAGCCTTTGGCCTGAGCACTAGAAAGGAGCAGCTGTCGCACTGAGATAGGAGGAGGCAGAAGGTGTAAGTGGGGTGTCCCACAGGCCACGCTGGCCTGAGGGTGGTACTCGTGGGGTGGGCAGTGGAGGACCTCCTTTGAAGTCTGCTGGGTGCCCACTTCTGTTCACTCGTCTTGCCAGGACCTGGCACCTGGTGACCTGGCTCCTTCATGCAGCTCTTGGCTGGGGCAGCTCTGGCCAGGCCATGGCTGCCCCCTGGGCCTGGGCTCACCACCCTGGCTGGGGCGTGCCCGCCAGCTCCTCACTCTCGGACTCTGGACGCTGGATGAGCAGAACCGACAGGACCCTGGCAGGCACCCAGGGGCTCCCTTCATTTCAGGGGTTGGCAACAAGTGGAGGATTCTGGAGGTCAACTGGGGCAGACATCTGCCTGCGTATCTGTAAGTATGAGGGGGCTCTGCTGCCAGAGCCCGGGGGAACGGCAGCTGAAGTGACTAAGTTGGCCTCTCTGGGGTTCTAAGATCTTACTCAAGTTGCTAAGGACCAGCCTTGACTTTCAAAAACCATCTTATGACACTGACTCTTGTTGCTATAGGCCTCCCCCAGGCCCCTATGGGCACCTCTGTCCCCACCATGTCCACCGTCCCTGCAGAGCCCCTCACCAGTCGGCCTGCAGCTCCCTCCCCCTCCCCCCCTCCCTGGGCGTTCTCAGAAAGTTTCGACTTTAGACTTTAGACTAAAGTCTTTAGACTTTAGACTTTCTACTTTAGTAGACTTTCGTTTCGACTTTAGACTTTATACTAAAGTCTTTAGTCTTTATACTAGTCTTTAGTCTTTCTGTTGTAGAGCAACTCCGATACAAAACGGGGTGCCTGACTGGGGGTCCTCACCCGCGCGCTTAAAAGGACTTATCAATGCTCTACTGCAGGCACACGTGAAAGGTTCATAAAAGGTTTATTTACAAGGGAAGGGCAAATGAGGAAATGTACAGCTCTGGGAGAAAAGTGGGAGACAAAGTTTTAAATGAGTCCTACCCGATCCGCCGATCAGGAATCCCAAAATGGCACTCTGAGAGCTGGCCGCCAGCCAGGAGCCGTGAAGCCAGGAGGCGAGACATCCTTTCCCCCTAACACCAGGAGCGGTGAAGCCAGGAGGCGAGACATCCTTTCCCCCTAACACCAGGAGGCGAGCGATCGCGAGCCAGAGAGAGCCTTTCCCCCTAACACCAGGAGGCGAGCGATCGCGAGCCAGAGAGAGCCTTTCCCCCTAACACCAGGAGGCGAGCGATCGCGAGCCAGAGAGAGCCCAAGGCCCACGTGTTTGGTTTTTATACCCAACCTGGCTGCCCAACTCCACCCTCAGGTCCCAGCCACCCTCCCTTGGTGGTGATGGGATTTGTCTTTCCCAGAGTCTTGATGGCTTTAGTCTGGAGTGGGGGTGGGGTCCACAAAGCCTGTATGGGATTAGCTCAGGACATCCTTTCCCCCTAACATTTCTACTAGTCTTTAGTCTTTCTACTTTAGTAGACTTTCGCCGTTCGCCGAAGTCGGGTAAGTCGGTTCTTGGAGGGCGAAGGCGACAGAGGAAATGCCACTGCACACATTTCTCTCCCCACGGAACCCCCATCCTTCCTGTGACGACAATGGGGTGAGTAGGCACCCCCACCGCCAGGCTGTGCCCGAGCAGGAGCAGGGCGCCTCCCCTCCCCCCAGCCCCTTAAGAAGAAAAACGGCTGTGCCACTCGAAAAGCCCTTTCTTTCAAGGCAGGAAGCCCATTCTTCCACGCAAGAAGCCCTGTAAACTGTCCTCCTAGGAGAGAGATGCTTGCATGGGAGGGGTGGACGAGGAAGTCACCCCGAACTAACGGGCAGGCTCTGTGGCCTAAGGTGCCCCCCCCCCCCGCCACCCATCTCGGGCAAGCTCGAGAGGGGAGAAGAGCCCCGGAGGGGCCCCCTGAGGACTGGGGGACCAGGGAAGACAGTGATACCGCCCTCAGGCACTGTGCCATCCTCACCCTGTATGAGTTGGGTGTTACCGCCCCGTTTCTCAGAAAGTGAAGGAAACAGTCTGTGAGTGAGCAGGCTGCACTTGCGCCCACAGGGCCGGCCAGGGACGCCCCCAGTCCTCTCCAGGCAGCCACACCTCTCTGAGTCCCAGTCTCCGGGCCTGGAAACAGGAAGGTAATAAGGTTCCCAGAGGCGTCCCAGGGTCCTGTGCACAGTGGCCTCGCTCTCTGCGGCCTCCCGGTACGGCTGGATGGAAGGACCCAAAGCACAGACGTCCAAGGGCCAGCAGCTGGGGAGGGGCAGCCCGTGCACTCCCACTGATTGGATGGAGGCTGGGGGGCGTCCCATTCAGAGCCTGGGCACCCTCAGCCACTCCAATAGCCCTGCACATGGCTGCCAGAGTCTACTTCCCGAAGAGAAGACCTAATCCCTCTCCCTGTCAAAGCCCTGCACGGCTCCTAGCCACTCACAAGACAACAGGGCCAAGCCCACCTTTCTGCTCTGGTTGAAATTTAGCCCCTTTTCTGATGGCTGCTCAAATACCTCCTCCTCCAGGAAGCCTTCCCTGATATGTTTGTGCCCTCTCCAGGTGCTGGCTTTAGATTTTCCTCTCTGCAGGCTCGAGACTTTCTGAGACCGAAGTACTGATTACCTAAGTACGTCTGTATACAGTTTTGTCTCTCACTGAAGCGAGTCATTTGCCATTGTCTCTGGCCAAGCTCTGGCCCAGGATAAGACCCAACATAGTTTTCTTCTTTGTAGAAAAACAAGTAATGTTTTTCTGATTACCAAGTTAATAAACCATGTGGTACAGAAAATTTGTTAGATGAAGAACACAGAAAGAGAAACCACCTAAGATCCTTATGTCCAAAATCACCACTGTTCCCATTCTGTGGCACTATATTTCTTCCAGATCTTTTTATAGGGATTTTTAAAATATGGCTTCATACTGCACACGCTTAGCTGTAAAATGTGTCACATCTTTTCATAGAAGACCCGCCGGGGCGCGCGGATCGCAGCCCGCGGGCGGGCGGGGGGGGCGCGGCCTTGCGGAGTCGGGCCGGGCGGGGCGGGGCGCGCGCGGGGCGGGGCGGAGCCCGCGGCTTCCATAAAAGGGCGCGCCGCCGCCCGCCGCGGACGCTGCTCCCCGCCGCGAGCGCCGCCCCGCGCCCCGCGCCCCTGCGCCCCGCGCCCCGCCGCGAGGGGAGTCCGCGCCCCGCGCCCCGCGCCCCGGCAGGTAAGCGCCCGGCCCCGCGCTGCCGGCGTCGGGAGGTGGGGACCCGCGGCCAGGTACGTGCCGAGCCGCTGTCCGTGAGTCCCGGGGGGCCGCCCGGCGCCCCCGGCTCCGAGAGGGCCCCGCCCGGGGGCTCCAGGTCCCCAACGGCGATCGCGGCCCCGCGGGCCTCAGTGTCCGCGTCCGAGCAGTGGGGCGGCGCCTCTGCGCCCGGGGGCCCCGGCCCCGCTCCCCGCAGCGCCCCTCCGCGCGGCCTCCTGCGGCGGCGCCCCCCGCGCCCCGGGCCGGGCCGGCCCCCCCAGCGCCGGCCCCCCGCGCCCCGCGCCCGCCGGGCAGGGAAGATGGCGCCCGTGCCGCCAGGACCGGGGCGCCGCGCACCTGCGGGGGGTCGGAGCGGCCTCGCTGCGGGGCGCGGGGGGGCGGACCCGCGCGGCCGCCGCCCGCACCTGCCCTCGCCGCCGCGCAGGTGCCGGGCGGGGCGGGCGCCCCTTGTTGTGTAAACCCGCGCCCCGCGCAGCCCCGCCCGGCCGGCCTGGGGGGCTCGGCTGGCCGCACGCGGGGGCGCCGCGACCCCCGGGCCCATCGCTTCGCCGGCCGCGCCCGGGCCGGGGGTCGGTCCCGCCGCCGCCCGACGTTCCTCCTGCTCCGGGGCCGCGCCCGCGGGGCTGCCGGGCGCTCGGGCGCGTCCTGCGCCCTGGACGCGGGGCCGGGCCGGGCGGCCCCAGCTGCAGGAGGCCAGCGCAGCCCGGAACCTTCTGGACGCGGAGCCGAGCGCAGACCCCGGACCCGCGTCTCCTCTGCTGTCCTCGACCCGCCCCCTCCGCGCAGCGGGGCTCGCGGGGGCCCCCACCCGGGGCGTCGGGCGTCGCGCGCCCGGGCGCTGGCGGCTGCGGGTGCCGTGGCCGGCGTGACCCCCTCTCTCTGCTGCTTTGTGGCCAGGCCGGAGCGGCCCCTTTTGGTGCTCGCTGGCCCGGTCTTGGGGTTCCTCCCCGAGGGGTGTGTGTGGAGGCAGGAGCTGGGGTGCTGTTGTGCTGCTCTGGCTCCGGGATTTGGGGGTTTCCCGCCGTCCTCCGACCCTCGGGGTCACCGGGCTGCTGCAGGCTGGCTTGTCTGTGGCTCTCCAGCCTGGCCCCCAGGCGGTGCCCGTGTTGTGTTTCCTCGGTGCCGGCTCAGAGTGTCTCGGGAAGGCTGGCTTTCAGGGTGCGAACTTTCGGCCTGTGCCTCTGAAGGTTCACCTGGAAACCCTTCTAAGATGACGGTTTCGTTTTGTTCAGGTTCTTTGTTCCTGGTAGAAGAACCGGCAGGGGTGTTTCTGCGAGCCTCGGGACACTGTCGGGTCTCCGTGGGCAGCGTGAGGCCTGGCAGGAGAGGGAGATGACAAGGGGAACCCACCCTGCTGCTGTCAGACTCGGCATCCTTGGCAGCTCAGTTGCTCCCTCCTCTGAGCAGCCTTCCCTGACTGCCTCCCTCCAGGCCCAGGGATCTTCTCTCTCCTTGTCCACCGTTTCCTCTGTGCTGGAGCCTTATTTTAGCATCTCGGGATGTCTCAGTCTGAACTCCCACCTCGGTGCTCCCTCCGGGTGAGGCTAGCCTGCAGCTTCACGAGGACAGGAGAGCCAAATGCCAGGTTCACAGGGGTACCCCAGCCCCGGCCACAGCCGGGCACACTGGGCAGAAGGCGGGTGGAGGCTGCAGGCTGGTTCCGCATCACAAGTCGTCGTGGGGAGTAGGTACGAAGCTGGGAGCAGCCAGGGCGCCAGGGAAAGTGCTGGCCGGCGCCTGGGGAAGTCTGTCCTCCCTGGCTCTCCTCCTCTTCTCCCCTCTCCCTGGAAAGCATCCTGTAGACAACTGATGGTTTCTGACTCCTCCGCTGGGGTGGCGGCTCCCCTGAGGGTCCTGCTGTTTTTCTCTCTGCTCAGAACAATCCCAAGATGTTTCGAGGAAGTCGCCGGCACGCTCGGGGCTGGCGCTGCGGCCACCAGGAAGCCTGCGGTGCGCAGCCGCTGCCCATCCCTTTGTCCTGCCACCGCCCGGCCAGGTCGGCCCCGGGAGAAATACGGGCCATAAGCAAATGAGCCTCCAGCGCCTGTTGGCCGGAGCAGGCAGGAGCGAGAGGGCACCCGGCGGCTCGGGGAGGGCAGCTCATTTTCCTAGTGTCAATATTAGGATGTGACAACTCCAAACACCCGCTGGGCCTTGCTGGCCACCACATGGGAAACCTGTTTTTCTGGAGGAGGAAAAGTCCCCGGGGCGGGCCACCTGGCCAAGAGGAAGGGCGAGCACAGGGCAGGGGAGAAGCCCGCCTGGCCGCCTGGGGAGGGCAGGTCAGCCGACAGTCAAGGACCCCCGCCCCCCGAGAGTTTTGTGTGTCTGTGCCTTGGAGCCCAGAAGAGGCTCCGTCCCCACCGGGGTTCCCTGCATACAGACAGCGCTGGGCCAGGAGACCCCCGGTCCGACTGCAGCGGCCAGCACGATGGGCCTCCAGGCTTCCTGAACTCCCATTAGCGAGCACTTGCTGTATACCATGCCGGCAGCATCTGCTTCCCTCCCGGGCCACCCTGCCTGCTGGGCTCCCCAAAGGCTACGCTGTGTGTCCAGCCCCAGGAAGTGCCTGTCTGGGGGGAACTCTGCACCGCCCTCCCCCACCCTCAACAGCGGCTCCATCCCGGGTCCATCCGGGGTCTCTGTCCGCTGGGAGCTCTGGCAGACAGAGACAGACAGGTAAACATTTAATGAGACCAGAATGGGCTAAGTGCCCGACCCAGGTCTGTTTACCCAAGGTGCGGGGACAATGCAGATGAGGAGCAATTAATTCTGTCCTGGCAGGAGCGAGAAGGAAGGAGGTGGGTTCTGGGCCAGGCCTGCGGCTGGAGCAGGTCCCCCGAGCCGGCAGGGGTGGGGCGGCCTACAGCAGGGAGGGTGTAAAGTGGGGTTGTGGGTGTGAAACGGGGTAAGCCTGGACTGAGGGAGTCTGGGCGCCATAGGCCTGAGGACTTTGTCCTGGGGAGGAAGGAGGAGCCCCTAGGGTGGTGAGGGGTGGTGAGGGGCTTGTTTTACTTACTCAGAACTGACTTTCAATGTAGTCTTCCCAAGGTTAAAAGCTACACCCTCAGGGACAGCCGGGCAGCCTGTCCTTTCCGCTGGCGATAGCAAGGGGGTGGAGGGGTCCCTTCTTGCTGTCCACGAGGACTAGGGACCCCTAGTCCCTACCACCAAGGGAATGTCACCTTCTGGGGTCTCCTGGCCCTGTGTCCCCAGAAGTCTTATGTTCACATCACGTAGCACACACTGGGGGGGCGGGGCTCCCACAACACGACTTCTGGATGCTCAAGTCCAAGGTCAGGGCCCACACACTTGGGGGGATGCTCGCCGGGACTTTTCAGAAGAGCTCCCCACTTAGCAGCTGCGCGCCCCCCATGGGCACGGCAGTAGGTGCTCAGCTAAGAAGCAGCTTCTGGAGCAGCTCAGGGGTTTCAGGCTGATTTCAGCGCCCGCGTCAGGAGAATGACTAACTGTTCTGCCCCCGCTGCGGGGCCCGGGAGAGGTTCCGTCTACGTCGTGCCCCTCGGCACCTTGTCTGGGCCTGCGTGCACGGGGAGATGCGGTACCCACCCATCGGCCGGTGTCTCTCCCAGAGAGCTGTCTCTCCCAGAGAGCTGCCGGCCGGGCCTGGAGGGGAGGTCTGGTTCTCACCCCAGGGCAAGCGCAGAGAGGAGCGTGTGGGCTGCGGGCGGCCTCGGGGCGCTGGGCATCGCAGATGTGGCATCTTCAGTCCTCAGGGCAACCCTGAGTTGGGTCCCTGTGGTTATCCGTGTGCATTTGTACAAATGGGGGCTCAGAGAAGTGCCCTGCCCGGGTCAGCCCCACAAGGTCTCCTGAGTCAGCAAATGTCTTGACTCCTGGGGCGTGGGGTGAGGAAAGAGGCTGAGCCGCGGAAGCGATGGATGGCGCCGAGACTTCAGAATCCGCGAGAAAGCCCGTCCGGTCCTCCGTGCTTGTCCGTCCCCCGCGGGCCCCGGGTCCTCTCCATGCTGCCAGCCTGGCACATCCCTTCCGGAGGGCAGAGAAGCACATAACCAGCGCAGCGTCAGGTGGTTCTTGGGCCGTCACCCCTCACAGCTGGTGCCTGCTGTGCCCTCGCTGCAGACCCGCCGGCCGACCGTGGAGAAGGGGTGCGGGCCTCGCCTCCTGCTTCGTGCCCACCTCCCAGCCGACCCAGGAGGCCTGGGGCCCAGCCTGCCTCCCACCTCAGCGCCCCCGCCACGCCTTGCCCGAGAGTGTGTGCCCCCCCCCACCCCCGCCGAGTCCAAGTCAGGACACATTGGTGTCCAGCGGGCCTCTCTGACAAGTGTCCTCAGAGTTGGGGGGCTGGGTTTCATCCTTGGGTGTGTGACACTCTTCAGTGTTTTAAGCCTCAGTTTCCTCACCTGAAAGGGGGGTCTAGCGCCCCCAACCTGCGTGCACACGATGTTTTACTTCAGTGTTCATGCCGGCCGCTTGCCTTGAGCGCAGGGCCTCAGCGAGCCCCGGCAATGCCCCCGCGGCCCCCAGCAGCTTCCACCCGCGGTTGAATTCACAGTGGACGCTGGCATTGCCGATCTCGGAGCAAGACTTGTCAGTTGTCAAAGCTGCTGTGGGAGCCCAGAGGGGGTGGCGTGGTGGGCGGCGGGGTGACGTGCCTGAGTTTCGGTGCTCAGCCCTCCCGGCCCCATCTGTGAAATGGGCAAACAGGCTCCTCCTCCCGCGGGGTTAGACTCAGCAGAGCGTGGAGAGCTTTGTGCCAGGGCCCGGAGTGGGCAGCCGAAGCCCAGCCCACCCCCACCCCAGGCGCCTTGGGTGGATCCGGGAGGACCTGTGCCCTTTCAGGGTGGGGGCCTGCGGGGCAGGTGGGGTACCAGGTGTGGGCGGCCGGGGCTCAGGGGTGCCAGCTGCGCCCTCCCACCCCTCCAGGTAAATTTCCAGTTTTGTTTTGCTTTAGGTAAATTTTGGATTTTCCCTTTTCTGTCTCCCGCTTCCGTTCTAGCCCCCCGCCCCCTTTATTTCTCCATTTCTTTCG